CTTGAGTAACTTTTTTGATGACTACTTTTCACTTTTACTTGAGTAATGATATTTTAAAGCAATGCTACTCTTACTTGAGTACAATTTTTGGATACTCGACCCACCTCTGCATAGAATAAATCGGCCTTAATCCTTTAAAGCCGGTCGGAGCAGACACGCTCCATTTTGCGTAACTATTTTTAAATCTCGGTAGCACTGCAACCACGTAAGCTAGCGCAATAATTTTTTTTTGCATATGAAACCGGAGGAGTTGTACTTACATCTTATGCCATCAGCTTGTCCTAGGTCACAGTTTCCTTCCACATAAAGCTTTGCAAAAACTGCATAAAAAGCACTTGCAGCAAAAAAACATAATATTCCAGAAACACGCTTTGCCGATCCGATTAGCTGTTTGTAACACTTCCTAGTCCATCAGCGCGAACTATCGCATGTCTGCCATGTCCCGCCCGAAACCGGAAGTTACGTCATTTTGCGGAAATGTAGTTTTTTACCATCAGGGCCTTATGAGCAGGCCCGGCCCTAACCAATCTGGCGCCCTAGGCAAGATTTTAGGTGGCGCCCCCCTACATCGGCAGTGTAGTGTATGTACTCACAAGAAACCGAATAGCTTTGTCTTTGACCTTTTTTTTTTACTTAAAGAAAGCAAATTCACAATCAGAATAATTAACAAGATAAAAAAAATATATGAATAAATAAATGAATACAAAAAATAAAAAATGAATATATGAAATACAATAAATTTTACATACATAAACAAATACATTAAAAATACAATATAAATAAGGCACTGCACAAAACAAGATATTAAATAAACCAGTATGACTTTAACAACTATATTACAAAAAAGGGGATCCTACAGAGTTCTCTAGTTGTGCTTTTTAATACTGCATTAACTAGAATGACTTACAAATTACTGTACACCACCCCCTCATCAACCTCACATCACCTGCTACAGCCTTACTCTCCTAGTCTTTCTTGCAGCAAAGTCATCTACAACATCATCATATGAAAACTGATTTGAGACCACATGATTTATGCTTATGATGGAAAGTCCACTGAGACGTTCTTGCATCATAGTAGATCTCAGGTAGGTTTTAATGAGTTTGAGCTTAGAGAAGCTTCTTTCAGCAGCAGCCACTGTAACAGGAAGAGTGGCAAAGATTCTCAGAGCAACCCACATGTTGGGGTAAATTTGAAGAGCGGAGTATGTGACACCACTTAGTATTAAAGTCCAATAATAAAAACATATGATTCCAGGAATAAAATGAAATGATATAATATAAATGAAAAACCAAAGAGATATATGTATGATGTTAACTGATATGCAAATTAGATTAGATTCAATTTATTGTCATCATTACAGTGAAATGCTGAATAGCAGAATACAAAGTAACAGTATAATATCATATGAGAATGTTATGTTATGATTATCTTTGACCGAATCACAGCAGTGCTCATATTAAAAAAACAGCATTCCCTCTCATGTGATATTGCTTAATTAACATTAATGATGTGCACTTTAACAACTAGGCTTACAACTATAATATATACAGGGGTGGAAAAGTGACTATTACCTGCAGGGTAAACGTTAGCTAACCAGAAGGCAATAACAATGTAAACAAAAAACACCTGCTTAAAAGATGAACACAAATGAGGAATGGTGGGAAAGGTGGGAGTACTGTAATTACCTAACGTTACATTATTATTTTCCATAACAATTTAGCCCCCTCCACAATATTAACCCTTTACAGCCGATCGGAGCGGGCACGCTCTGTTTTGCGTAACTATTTTTAAATCCCGGTAGCTCTGCAACCACGTAAGCTAGCGCAATATTTTTTTATGCATATGAAACTGGAGGAGTTGTACTTACATCTTATGCCATCAGCTTGTCCTAGGTCACAGTTTCCTTCCACATATAGCTTTGCAAAAACTGCATAAAAATCACTTGCAGCAACAAAAACATGATATTCCAGAAACACGCTTCGCCAATCCAATCAGCTGTTTGTAACACTTCCTATGTCCATCAGCGCGAACTATCACATGACCGCATGACCTGCCCGAAACCAGAAGTGACGTCATTTTGCGGAAATGTAGTTTTTTTTACCATCGTGGCCTCATGAGCTTATACTTGTGTTTTTAAAAGTTATGTTTGACTTCATGACTTTCTGTGTCGTTTCTGGGATGCTTAAGACTCATATTGCACTGCTGGAAATAGTTTATTTTGATGCATATGCTGTTATTTTGCAAATTTGCACTATAATATTTATTTCCGTTTTTCCTGCAGTATATAAAAATTGGTGTATTTCAAAAATAAAACTATGAAGACACTTAAAATAAATTTCCTGTGGTGGGAAACTAGTTTGTGCAACTTTTTTGTATTTACAGTTTTGAGGGATAAGTTTTCTAACTAGAAATATAGGTTAAAAGAACAAAAACGATTTTCAACTTGTTGTAGTTTATTGCACTTTTTTGCAATTTATGTAATTACTATGCACCTAATGCAGGCATATTATTAAAGTTTGGGCTATAATGGTTGTATTGATGTATAGCAACTTGAAATGCTCCCAAAAATGGCTCCACAGCATGTAAAAATATAATATAAGCTCTGGCGGACTTGGTTCTATGGTAGGTCTTAAAGGGTTAACTGACGTTTCTCTAACTAGAAATATATGTTAAAAAAACAAAAACGATTTCCATTTTTTTTAGTTTATTGCATATTTTGCAATTTATGTAATTACTATGCACTTAATGCTTACATATTATTAAAATGTGGGCTTTAATGGTTGATTTGATGTATAGCGACTTGGAATGCTCTCAAAAATGGCACTACAGCATGTAAAAATATAATATAAGCTCTGGCGGCCTTGGTTCTATACTAGGTCTTAAAGGGTTAAACACACCATTTATTTCCATGGAAAAAGGTAAAACCAGAATTACAAATACAATTTTAAAATACCCTAAATACAATAGCAGACCTGTCTCCTCTTGACGCCGCGTCACCGCACAGTCCAGCCACACTCCACACCTGAACACGGCCTCCCTCGTAGCACCGCCCTGAAACAGACAGTAAAAAGGGGCCAGCAATATTGTCGGCACAGCCGCTGCGAACCGTGTGTGTGTATGTGTATGTGTATATGTGTGTGTGTGTGTGTGTGTGTGAGATAGAGAGAGAAACAATGGAGCTAAAAAGGGAGGTCGAAACAAGACACTCTAGAACCATGAGGGTCACAGTTTTCTTTGTTTAATGTGGACATACAAGCCGAAGTCATCTGTTAGACTTCCTGTTTTAACCACAATTTATTTTAATTTTGTTATAATATCAGTTAATAATCAGTTATAGCACACTTGGTTAAAAAAATATAGACCAGCTTAGTGAGAAAGACATTTTATATTGCAAAAGCTGAGAAATCTTTATGAAAAAAATCTTGTAAATGTATTATTTGTATATCACAGAAAGTTACACCAATACAAAGTAAAAATATTCTAAAAAATTAAAAAAACACAAAAAACATGATATGTAAGGATGAAAATCTTTATGGTGAGAATTTTATTACATTTTAAACATTTTAAAAAGCTTTTTTGTGAAAGCATGTTCTTATTCACTTAAACTGTGAACCTGTAAAAAGACTGCTGACAAAACCCCGTCCAGGCCCTTAAAAATACACATGTGTCTAGAAATGGTGGTTTTTAATTTTTGGCAACAGCCTTTGCAAAAATAAATGTGGAGACAACAGCATGTCGATACATTATCACACCTATGTTTTGTTTTAACCTCAAGGGTCAAGACATCATGAGAAACTACAACCACAGCCCCAAACCTCAACTACATGTTTCAAATAAAAAGAGAAAAAAGCATATTGAAAAATATATTTTAGATGTTTGACAGTTAGAATGATTCTACTTTCACCTGACTGCAAAAAGATAAATATACATTTAATAATATAATGATAGATGACAAATACCTCACAGGTTACTTGTTTGTGAAAGTTTTCAGTACACCTATGTTTAAAGACACATTTAATCCTTGTCTTGCTGGCTGACAGTAAAGACATCCTTCACCAGCAGCTGCAAGAGCAGAGCCATCATTACAATAGTTAGAACAACCTTTAAAAGGAGACGAGCCTCTCTGTGAAGCAAAGGCACCAGAAAGTACATGTAGCCACGTATTGACAACATGAATTTCCCACAGTGCACTTATTTCCCTTTGGAGGAAAAAGCCAGTCTTCTAAGTCAGCATTTTAAAGTTATTTTAAAGTTAAATAGAAGTGCAGCAAGTAATTCAACAGGGTTAAACCCATATCTTATTTTTAACTGTGTCTGTATAAGTATAAATCACAAGGAAGCAAGTCTATGTCTCAACTCTGATAGCCAGCTTTCTCTGAATTGTCTGGCCCAATTATCATATGCACTTGTAGGGTCACGTGAATATTATACCACTTCTTATGGAACACTGGCAGGAGGCTGGTGGACAATGTGTTATTATTGCAGCTTATTCCTCTATCACATTATGAGCAGGACTCTTGGATCACAGCATCAACTGAAAGAGATAAAATTCACCAATATCAATAGAGGTTGATGAAAATTAATTTACCTCTTAACATTTACCAAGTCGAGAACAATGTAATTTGTAAACTGCATATATATATATATATATATATATATATATATATTTTTTTTTTTTTTTTTGGAAGTGCAGCAATGAGTACTTACCACTTCTCAAGGCACAATTTCACCGAAAATGTGAGGTCAGAAGCAAGAGCACACTGAGCACTGGAGGAAGAAAGAAAGTGGGCATTATATGTTTACATGCTGTAGATGGTTGGAGAAATGTTGGCTATATATTGCTTAGAACAGTATAATATTATAAACAAAAGTGGATAAAATTAAATAAAATTAAAAATAAATAAATAAATTAGTTTTAGTCATTAAAATACTTGAGGGTAAAAGAAACCAATTAGGGAATACGTTACAGATTGTAAAATTTACTGTCAAGCACAACATTATATACCCAGTTGCAGCTTCCACTGAAGTAGTCCCAACACCAGCAGCTGCAGAGCCAACCCAACCGTCACAGCTGTGCACCGGAAGATGTAGAAATTGTGTGAAAAAGCAATTTCTTCATGCGATACTGGAAGAATAAAAACACAGAAAGAAAAAAAAAGCTTCTTTAGGGTTGATAAGTCATCCTGTAAGTGTAAAAGCTAACTCTGGTTCCCCCAGGAAGTCACCATTAATCTTTCTGTTTCAGAACAGCAATATCATTAAGCTTTGAATGTTTAGTGTACATTTTGCTTCCTTCATTTTAAATTTTGATCAACTTACTATTTTAAATGCAAACCCATCATAGTAGCCAGGATTGCTGGGATTCAGTAAATGTGAATTATATGTTTGAAGCGCCACAGGGCTCAGATTAAAGCTCACTGAAAGCGTGGATGTTCTGTGATTACAAATTCATCCATGCTACTAATAAAAAAATATATTGGAAAAAAATGTAGAACAAAACGCTATCAAATAAGTAAATAAACAGAAAAACCATACCTTCCCCTGCATTCGATTTCCTTCTGATAGCCATCCAGCTCTCTGGTGATTCTCCAACTCCATGTATTCTGCATTTATAGAGTCCTTCATGAGACTTTGAAACATCAGGGATTTCTAGTTTTCCTTCATATCCGGTGCCGATGAAGATGCTATCTTTGTAGAAATCTGCTGTGAAATTGGAGGAAGTGATCTTGTTTCTACAGTGCAGAGTAACAGCATCTCCCTCCCCCACAGGATGGACAGGACTCTCCAGTATCACACCACCAGCTGAAGGAAAGTAATTTTAAAATGTCATCGATGTGCCAGTGTTCAATCTTACAACTTTTAAATTTCAGATTTTATTTTTGATAATAACATACATGAGACAGTGATGTTGACAGCATTGCTCCTCTCTGCCCCACTCTCACACCAGTATTCTCCACTATCTGAAGCAGAGGCATGATCAATCCTGCAGGTCTTTGTCGCAGTGCCATTTGAACATTGAGAAATGATTTCCCTGGCGTTCCTCACTTTCCAATCGGTTGAAATATTAAACCCTTTACAGGTAAAATAGACTGACTCAGTTTCAAAAAGGTGCAGTCTGGATGCAGTTATATGAAAAGACGAATCTGAGAAAGAAGAACAATGTAAAGAAATATCAACTGAATTGCCAGAGATCCAAAAAGTAAGGTTTAGCATTCCCAACAGAAAACCAAGACTAATTCAGGGTTGGTGGTAGGAAATAAGGATTTAGTCAGTATCTATGAGTCACCTTGCCTCGTTTCTCCTCCTTGTGTTTCATTCTATGTTTTCCCCAGCCCGTTATATCTGTGCTCTCCCGTGTTCTCTCCTCCCCTCCTGTCTGCGCCTCTGTTTACTTCCTGTTTTACTTTGACAGTCTCCCGTCAGTATGCGTAATGTTTGCTCCTGCAGACATGATTATCTGTGTCAGCTGTGTTATCCTTCTGTGTATTTATGGCTGCATCTCCCTCCATTCCATGTCACGTCCTTGCTCATTGCTGTTTCTCTGTGTTTCCTCGCATTTCAGTTAATCATTTCCCAGTTTAGTTTAGTTCTCTGTTTTCTCTTTATTCCTACAATAAAGTAGTGCTTTTGACGTTATTCCTCGTGTCTCTGCGAGTTTTAACTTGCCTCCGTTACACAGCCGAATCGTGACAGGTAGCCAGGATTGCTGGGATTAAGTACATTTCAATAGTATATCTGAAGTACTGCAGGACACTTATAACTGCTTACTGAAAGCACGGATGTTCTGTGATTATAAATTTTCATATGCTATCAAATAAGTAAATAAGCAGAAAAAACATACCTTCCCCTGCATTCGATTTCCTTCTGATAGCCATCCAGCTCTCTGGTGATTCTCCAACTCCATGTATTTTGCATTTATATAATCCTTCATGAGACATTAAAACCTTTTGGATTTCTAGTTTTCCTTCATATCTGGTGCCCATGAAGAAGTTATCTTTATAGAATTCTGCTGTGAAATTTGAGGAAGTCTTCCTGTTTCTACAGTGCAGAGTAACAGCATCTCCCTCCACCGCAGGATAGACGGGACTCTCCAGTATCACAGCACCAGCTGAAAATGCAAAGAAATTTAGAAATGTTACAAATGTGCAATGGTTTAGTCATTATAACCTTCACATTTCAGATTTTAATTCTGATAATAACATACTTGTAATAGTAATATTGACAGTGTTGCTTCTCTCTACTCCACTCTCACACCAGTATTCTCCACTATCTGAAGCAAAAGCATATTTGATCCCACAAGTCCTTGTCACAGTGTTATTGGAACATTTCGAAAGGATTTGCTGAGTGTTCCTCACTTTCCATCCTGCTGAAATTTTAAATCCTTCACAGGTAAAAGAGACTGACTCATATTCAAAGAGCTGCAGTCTGGATGGAATGATGGAAAAAGATGAATCTGAGAAAGAAGGATGCAATAAAACAATGACTGAGTTCCCAGAGATTCAAGAAGTAAGGCCCATGCTAATTCATGGTGAGTGGTGGAAAACAAGGATTTAGGCAGAAGGATTGGAAAACATAACATGAATATAAAAGGACAAATACTACTCACAAGAGATCTTAGAATAACCTTTCTGCACATGTGCCATCAGCAGCAACAACCCTGCAGAAACAGTCCCAACGGACAGTTTTGTGTTCACACCAACATTTACAATTTAAATTTGAATTTATCTGCAGTCAGCATGAAGGTATGTTTGCTCATCTTTTTGTGACTTATTGGATGTGCAAGAGATCGACATTTACATCTCCATTATAATCTAACTGATACCATCATATGACAGTTCATTACTTGCACAAATATATTTCACATTACAAGTGCTAAAAAGTAACACATAATTTGCAAATGAGGTGTTAGTAAATGTTACATTTTCATTATTTGCACAACTAATATTTTCTTTAAAATGAAACATGTTGGGGTAGAACAGGAACAGACTACTGCATAAAATATAAAAAAGATTCTATATTCAAGCAAATTACATGAGGCAAGAGACGAATGCTGTACTCACAGAGTTTACTACAGAGTGCGATGACTTCCATTCTGGCTTTCTCACTGAGAGTATCAAGCAACATTAAATCTACATATGTAGCTCATGTCTTCCTCTTCCTGTGCAGGTCACTTTACTTCTAGTGTTGAGCAGACTTTATTGAGTAAGTTTTATGAAGACTGCTGCAAGTGTGTTACAATAATAAATACAGAACAGTGGATATGTTAGACTGAGGGCAAAAAAGGCAGCAGAGGCCATCATTGACAACAAAGCAGAGACAAAAAGGGAAAAAGAGCTAGGAGTGAAACTTTACATAAGATTAAGTATTATATGATAGTGTGAGCATGAATAACAGGTGCCATAGTGCCCCCATCTGACCAGTAAACACTGTCATGTTTTTCAGTTATAGAGGGCAGAGTCCAATAAAGCAGCTCATATCATTGCCTCACGGGAGCATGGCTGTAGTATTTTATAATCACCTGCTTCGGCAGGTAGAGATGGCCCCTAATGGCCCATTGAATGGACTGATATCATTGGAAGTGGGTGAAAGAAACTGCAGAAATCATTTTCAGCTCCTCTTTGGTTTACACATTGTTAATAGGAAAATTGTACTTAGTAGTCAGTATAATCTTTTAATGACTATGATAATGTGACTAATGATGCTCCAACGTTCTGAGGTCACTACCTCGGTTATGCAATGTCACAAGTTTTGTGAGGCGCTTTTGTGATTTTTAAAGGATTGGATTACATTTTTTATTCCTCCCTGATATCCTCCAAATCTGCTGACAGTCACTGGGTGAGGCAGTGGCCATGATTGTGGTACAATTTATGCTATATTTAAAAAGAGGGGCTCATATTAGGAAGAGGAAAAGCGAACAGAATATTTAGGACTGTCAGGACCTTCAGTTTAAGCACTGTTGTCTTTGATTGTTGTTTATGATGCTGTCAATGGAAAATTGTACTTAGTAGTCAGTATAATCTTTTAATGATATACGTTTGCATATGGTAGAATGCTGCATGTAATCATTTGTGTTTAGAAGTATATAGTTGGTGGAATATTGAAAGAATGTCTCATCCTAGGAGGTCTGTAACATTCCAGGGCTTTCACCCCCACACGAGAGAGGTCGTACCTTGTCTTATTGTTTTACGGTAGGATTAACGTAGCTATGTCAGTTTTAGTTTAAGTGCCTTCTTTACATATGAACTGTTGGATTTTCCAGACCAGCAGGTTAAGGGAAGTCGTTTATGGGGCCACACTCTGACCCCCCCCCCCCCCCCCCCCACACACACACACACACACGTACATCTCCACATTTCAATGTAAGGAACAAATGCTCACTGAAGTATAAATAAAGACCGGGGCAGTTTCTCAGTGCGAGTCTCAGTTCTGGAGGCTGCCCTTGCTAGCAAGAAGTTCTGTGTGTTTCTCTTCTCTGAGTCTTTGCTGAATGTTTTAGGGTATATTTTTTGACATTATTTGGTCCTCCGAGCTGGAGCAGAAAACATCAGAACTGTTATCTGTGACTCTGTTCCAAGATCCAGCACTGATTCCTGACGCCGTGGGGAGCCAGCACCGAAGCCTATGCACAGCCCTCTTAGACGAGGAGAGAGCCCCAGGACGTGCATTCGGGTCTGGGCCGGTGTTTTTAATCTGGTCCACGGCGGTGGGATTCAGTCCGACGATCTGAACCACCAGTGAGAAGTTGGAGGGTGAGAAACACTATTTGGTATATAAAGACGGCCGCAAAGGTTTAAAGAAATGTGATAAATTAGGTTTAAGTTCGCCAAAAGGAACTGTGTTTCGACCAGTTTTAGAGGTAGCTGAAATTATCTCGTGACAAATTAGCGCGCAAATGTCTATGTGTCTGTATGTGTCTGGAAGTAAGTTGATTTTACAGCACAATACTCTGCTGAACTACTTCTATTTTTGTTTTCTTTGCGTTACTTGTAACGCGTTACTGTAATCTGATTACTTTTTTCAAGTAACGAGTAAAGTAAGGGATTACTATTGCAAAAACGGTAATTAGATTACCGTTACTTTCCCGTAGGAACGCTGCGTTACTGCGTTACGAAAACTGTGATTTTTTTGCGAGAATGTCTCACGACAGTGACGTAAGCGAGTGCGCCGTTAGTGACAACAGCTGTGTGCAGATCAACAATGGATCACATATCGATTGTGGGAGAGAGTTTGAGCGTGCAGCGTTTAAAGCGTGGAAGTACTGACCTTACTTTGAGTTTGATTCCATACAAAGTGACAAAAACATTAGTGTCCGCTGTGCGTGGGAAGAAAACTTCTTTTTACAGCGAAAAAACCCCTAAACAAGCACCGAGTGCGCAACGACGTGATGGGAAATTCACAGAGATTCGCGGATTCTTCAACTGACCGCAGCACACCTGCACTAGGGTAAACCTCCGCCTACTCTACTCCTGCTTTACAGGTGAAAATAGAGCAAAAGGACCGCTGAGTCTTTGACTTTATTTATTTTCTGCTGTGTTTTACTTGCATCTATTTGAAAGACTGAGTGTAAACACAAAAAATATTTTATTTTATGTGCTGGAATGTGCAGAAAATAGGTTTAAATGTTAAACTAATTTATTCAAGTCAGAGAATGTTGCATATAATTAAATTGTTGCTTGATGCATAAAGTTAAAAGATTAAAACTGATAAAACAAGTTAAAAAAAGAAGATAATTTTCCATTTGATTACATTTTGTATGATGGATTATGCAAAAAAAGTAGAATTGGGCTGAAAGCTCTATCACTTTATCACCTCTTCAGGTTGTAAATCGTTTTTTTTAAAAGTAACTAAGTAACTAGGTAATTAATTACTTTTGAAAATAAGTAATCAGTAAAGTAACAGGATTACTTTTTGGGGGAAGTAATCAGTAATTAGTTACTGATTACTTTTTTCAAGTAACTTGACCAACACTGCTGGTGACAAAGGAGAACGGTTGAGTTTCAACTCATACCGCTTCACCATTAGGGTGAAGTTGAATGGTAAATGGTAAATGGCCTGTATTTATATAGTGCTTTACTAGTCCCTAAGGACCCCAAAGTGCTTTACATATCCAGTCATCCACCCATTCACACACTGGTGATGGCAAGCTACATTGTAGCCACAGCCACCCTGGGGCGCACTGACAGAGGCGAGGCTGCCGGACACTGGCGCCACCGGGCCCTCTGACCACCACCAGTAGGCAACGGGTGAAGTGTCTTGCCCAAGGACACAACGACCGAGACTGTCCAAGCCGGGGCTCGAACCGGCAACCTTCCGATTACAAGGCGAACTCCCAACTCTTGAGCCACGATCGCCCACGATCGTTCCGGGGGGAGTATGGTTGCAAAGCTGAAACTTAAAGGAATTGACGGAAGGGCACCACCAGGAGTGGAGCCTGCGGCTTAATTTGACTCAACACGGGAAACCTCACCCGGCCCGGACACGGAAAGGATTGACAGATTGAATTTGAAGGCCGTATCAGTAAACCACTCTGAAGTCAAGCGTGCCAGCGACGGCCCAGCAAAATCTTTGAAAATGGAGAATAAACAAGTAAAATTAACACCTGATGAGGAATGGTTAGAAAAACACCAAGCCGGAGCAGGTAAAATCAGTGCAAATAGGTGGAGAAATCCACAAAAAGCAAAAAAAAAAACCCAAAACTCTCCAGTATCACAGCACCAGCTGAAAATGTGAAGAAATGTAGAAATTGATAAATCTGCTATGGCTAATCACAGAACTTTCAATTTCACATGTTAATTCTGATAATAACATACCTGAAACAATTATACTGACAGCATTGCTTCTCTCTGCCTCACTCTCACACCAGTATTCTCCACTATCAGAAGCAAAAGCATATTTGATCCCGCACCTTTTCATCACAGTGCTATTTGAACATTTCGAAAGGACTTGCCGAATGTTCCTCACTTTCAATTCTGCTGAAATATTAACCCCTTCACAGGTGAAATAGACTGACTCATATTCAAAGAGCTGCAGTCTGGATGGAGTGATATGAAAAGGCGAATCTGAGAAAGAAGGAAAATGCAGTAATCTGCTGAGTTTCCAAAGATCCAATAGCTGAGGTTTACCAATCCCAACACAAAATCCAACTTTAGTACAAAGTAAGGATTTAGGCAGAAGGGCTGAAAACACGACTTCAATTCATGCTACTTACAAGACATCGTAGAATAACTTGTATACACATGTGCCGTCATCACCATCAACCCTGTAGAAATAAACAGATTTTTCTTTATAAAGATGATTTCCATACTAATATCTATTATAGACACAATATAATAATATTTTCAAATTCAAATTCAAATTTTATTTGTCACGTACACAGTCATACACAGTATGATATGCAGTGAAATGCTTAGACAACTGCTCGTGACCTAAAGAAAAAAAAGGAAAATGCTATGAATAAGATAGGAAATAAATATGAAAAATTAAAAAGGGTAAATTTAACTAGGAAGGAATAAAATATAAATTAAGGTTAAAAATGAAATAACTGTACAACACAAATTAGAATGAAGGGTAAATTTAACTGGGAAAGAATAAGATAAAATATATAAATTAAAGTTGAAAATAAAATAACTGTACAACAAAATACACAATACACAGTATAGAACTATATAAGAATGTATGAAGAAATATAAATAAATAAATAAATATATATATATGCACAATAACAGCAGCTGTACAAGTATTAACTGGAAATGAAGAATATAGTAACCAGTGTTGTGCAATCCACATTATGTCTTGTGCAGTGCAAATATGCTTAAAGTGATTTAAGTGATGAAGTGAAAACAATGTCCAGAATGTCCAGTGTGTGTGTGAGAACTATATGTGTGGGTCAGTACTGTGTGGTGGTGTGATTGAGAGACCGTATCGCTAGAATAAGAAGTAAGCTCTTGCTACACAATAAAGAAAACAAAAATAAGTCCATATTTAAGTAAAGTACATGAGACAAGAGACATACTGTACTCACAGAGTTTATTGTAGACAAGTATGACCTCCATGCTGTCTTGCTCACCGTGAGACTGACGCAACATTAATGT